ATATATATATATATATATATATATATATTTTATATTTTTCACCACCTTTATATTTTTTTAAGGATATATATATATATCCTTTATATTTTTCACCACCCTCCCACAAACAAATATAGTTATCTCTCATTCTTTAATGTAGCCTGGAATGTCACAGCACTAATTACAAAGTAAAGGGTCAAAGAGCATTTGCTTAAAAATAAATTACTGAGCCCTGGTCAGTGTTGTTCAGTGGTTGGAGTGTCAGCCTGCACACTGAAGGTACGTAGGGGTGCATTTGTCAGGCGGCCAATCCAATCGATGTGTCTCTCTCATATCAATGTTGCTCTTACTCTCTCTCTCTCCTCTGTCTTCCCTCCTGCTCTCTCTAAAAATAAATGGGAAAAAAATGCATAGTTTTGATTGAAGTGGATATTATTTAGGATATGGTTCTATTGAGCAAAATATTAACCATTTAATTTCATCTTTGAAATGACCCTTGCATTCAGGTGATACTTTTACAATATAAACCAATAGATTAAACTATCATTTAAAAAATCAAATCAGTTGTTGAAAATAACTTAGAGAAAGAATTAGGTAGGTTATGTGAATATTAAGCCAACCAAAGCGCTAATATCCATATATATATAATAGGATTAACCACAGAGAAAATATACAGTTTTGAAATGTAATCACCAATGTATTTAAATATTTCAAATTACATATGTTAATTATCTGTGGCATATATTTGTTTTTAAATAAAAGTTCCAGTTCAGGAAGATATTCTAAACCCCTAAAATGATTTAATACACATATTCAAACACATAAAAATGACATTTTAATATTACTCATAGGATTACCCACAGAGAAAATGTACAGTTTTGAAATGTAATCACCAATGTATTTAAATATTTCAAATTACATATGTTAATTATCTGTGGCATATATTTGTTTTTAAATAAAAGTTCCAGTTCAGGAAGATATTCTAAACCCCTAAAATGATTTAATACACATATTCAAACACATAAAAATGACATTTTAATATTAATTTTGCAGACATTAAAGTCTGATGAGCTGCTTGGCCTATCTGGATCCAAAATGTACCTTTCACAGTGACTTTATGCTCTCCAGTTCCTGGGGTGGTGGTGATGTCCACATGAACAGATATCTGACCCACTGAATCTTTGGAGGAGCGACCTGCAAGCAAGCAGAAGCTTAGGGCCTGAACGTTCAGATACTTAATAACGGACATCTACATTATCCGCATAAGGGGCTTGAAAGCGTTTCTTCCTGGAATTGAATGGTACTTTGTATTAATAGCACATAACATTGATATATGTTCACCAAATTCAATTTGCTGCGCAGGTTTGAGACTTGGATATAATCATATTTACCCAAGGAGTTAAAATTTCATCTGATCCTCAGATATTGTGTCACTATTACAGGAAGATGGCTGTAGAGCACCTGCCCTCATGAAGCCCACAGTACGCCAGGCGAGACCAACATATAGCTACAGTATAGTGTGATAAGGTCTACTGATAGCATAAAAGTTAGTCGACAGTTAAGCATGTTGTATTGAAAAGTACCTGTGATTTGGGGTCAGATTAACTTGAATTTAAATCATGGTTATGCTACTTCTGGTTCTGTGATAAGAATTTGCTGTATTCTCACATCTCAATTTGCTCATTTGTAAAACAGGGATAATAACACCAACCTCTCTCTCTCTCTCTCTCTCTCTCTCTCTCTCTCTCTCTCTAAAAATAAATGGGAAAAAAAATATCCCTGGGTGAGGATTAAAAATAAATAAATAAATTACTGAGCCATTGCTTATAATAATCAAAACAGTAAAATATTTAATGTTTGGCCATTGATCCATTATATGAACATATCATAATTTAACCATATTTCAGTTGTTTCCAATCCTTTGTTATTATAAACAAACTATAATAATTATTTTTATAAGTTTATCTATAGTATAATTCTTAGAAGTAAAATTTATTTGTCAATTTTAATTTTGCCCCAGAGAGATTTTAACAATTTACACTTTTATATGCAATATAGATCAACAAGAAATGTACTTTTCTAAAATAAATGGCTAAAATTGAATCTGAAAATAGATGACTCTGAGAAACGTTCAGTTTCTAATCTCAGATAATTGCTAGTTTGGGGCCTGAACCTCTCTCCATAGGACCTGCTGAGAAGAGCCAGTTCATCACCAGGACCCCTCTCCCTCGATAATAAAAGAATTAAAAGATAGAAAGTGATCACTTGGGCATTAGTAAAGGGACTATTCTTTGCTTCTGGGGAAAGGAAGAGGGGAAATGTCCCCTTTCCCAGAGGTGAGGAAAAGAAAATCCAAAAGAAATACTCCTAAACTCTGAAAGTGCCAAAAAGATGGGCATTTCACTTTTGAATTGGCTGCTTACTTAGCAGACAATATGACCCGAGCATGGTTGAGTGAGGGACAATTAGCCAGAGAGGGGGCCAAGGACTACTTCCTTAAATTTATGGTTGCTAAGAAGTATGGGAGATGGTTCCTGGATGGGCTTGAAGTGCCAGAATTGGGAACAAGAGAGGGAAGATGTGATCATGGACTGTGGTCTTGTCATGGATTGCACAGATGGGGCAAGGAGGCAGGCAGCTCGAAGCTCGTAGCATGCCAGTACCAGCTGAAGTGCAGTGGGAATGAGTAGCCCAGGCCTGAGTTTGGAAGAATTCATCAATGCTTTAGCTGCTATTTGGAAATGAGTCTCACACTGCCAGCTTCACAAGCTTCTAGTTCCCCCAAAACAATAAGCTGGAAGAGCTGTAACCCTACTCAACGACCAGCAATGTTCACCACTGACGTTTAAATAAAGTGTCATTGGTCTTGTTCCTCTCTTTTCTTCCTTCCCAACACCAGGGAACCTACCACCAGGAGGGAGAGGAAAGGTTCACATGAGAGAGGCCCATGCCTTCCTTCTCCTTTTCCCATTTCTGTCTGCTTGCAGAGAGAGAAGGGACTGTAAAGCCGGTAAGAGATTAAAGATGTAAGGTGACCAGGATGAGGTCTTAAGCACTGGAATGACTTTATAATCGTGCAGATCACTGATAGGCAGGGACCTGGGCTGTGATATCAGTGGGGGAGGTGTCTGTGCAGTAGAAAACGGGCTCCTTGCCAAGAGACAGCTTTTCCCAGTTCTACTGCTTTTTCTTCCCTTGTTACTGTCGTGTAAGGGAGGTCAGCTTCCTCTTCCTTTCTTTCCTTTTTATATCCTGTTCATGCCTTTGTGTATAGGTATTAAATCCTTATCAAAAATCTTAAATTGGATGTGCCTTTTGTCTGCTGGGTCCTTAGTTTATAGAGTTGACATCTGTGATTTGCTCATAACTTGAACGGAAATGCTCCTTGTATTTTCTCAGTACTCTTAGGTTTTATGGAATAACGAACCAATCTTTTGTGGGGAAGGGCAGAAACTTTTATCATTAAAGGTTTCAGAAAGGAGAAAATGCGTAAGGAGGCTCTTTAAAATTGAGTTAGAATTCATCTTTTAAACAAGGAAGCAGAAGAAATAGCACACGTGTGGATGAATAAAACAGAACGGTGTGTCCTGAAAACTGCAAGTAGTTCCGTGTGGATGGAGCATAGTGGTGGTGCCTTGAATATA